CCACTCATTCATTCATTCTCTAAAGCTCTGGCCACTCATTCATTCATTCTCTATAGCTCTGACTCCTCATTCATTCATTCTTTCACTTTTTCCAACAATAACATATCAAGTATTTCTAACTGTTAGTGGTTCTGCAAGGATGATCACAGGTCCTCTGGGCCATGTTGAGGTGAGGCAGAGGAAGAGAGGAGGAAGGGAAAGAGAGGAAGAAAAGGAGGAGGGCATCTGAAAAGTAAAGCAGTCTTGTAAGTGGGGGTCCTGAAATGTCCCGCCTTCTCTGTCTTCACAAGGGGGTGGTGTCTTACCCAGAGCAAATATTGAGCCACAGAGGAGGCAGGTGGGTACAAAGAATGAAGAGAGCTCCTGATAGAAGACAGAACTAAAGAAAAGTCGAGAAGACCCTGACGACATGATTGGATCTCTGAGACCGTCTATTTTCAGTGGCCTGAGCAGACTGTCTCATGCGACCTTGTCAGATTATGATGCAAAGAGAGTCCATGAACGTTCTCCCAGCTTCTCCTGGGAGTCAGCTCATCGCCAGATCCCCTTCCTCAGACTCATGGCTAAAACCCGATAACCTCATTAAAGGACTGATCCTAACAGGTGTGACCCCAAAGCAAGCAAATGGATTGACACCAATAATTATCTGTCTTCTTCCTTTCTTGTTTGTCACAGAGATTTTTAAATACTAGGTTCACTTTTCCTAAGCAGGTCTAATTTTTCATCACGTGTGTTGTTTTGCATTCCACCTAAAATGCTACCCATTCCCAGCAATGAGGAAAGATGCTTGCATCCAAAGCCATCTTAATTATTTAAATTATTTTTAAAGATTAAAAAAAAAAGAACAGAAAGGAATTGCGATACTGACTAATTCTAGGCTTCCCTGTGCATGTTATGAGAACTCTTTTGTCATTGGAGAAATAAAGCATTACAGCTGTGACAATCTGGCTCAAAACAAAGTAACTAACTTGATGTCAAGGGCCCCCTTGGTTTCTCGATTCTTTTAATAATCTCATTCTTTTGACCCCGATTGCCAACAAGAATTATACCCTTATTTTCCCATTAAAAAAAAAATCAGAACTTCCTTGTTGCAATAGGAAATGTTTAAGTAAAAATGAAGGTCACTCTGCATGGAATCACAGGCCTTCCCCAAGGTTGCAATTTCACTGATTAGAAAGCAATGTGGAAAAATTTCTCTGTGCTGTTCCGCCATGGTTCATTATGAAATAAACTCTCCACTGCAATGACACTAATGTAAAAATATTCCTAAGTTGCATCCTGAAAGGAAGGAGAAAAATAAAGATGCTTTATGAGTCAGAGTATATAAACTGCAGGTGAAGTTTTATTTTCTGTCTTTCTCTTCAATGTTTAAAACCTGATCTGGCCTAAAGAAATAAATATGTAATGTCACCAAATCTCATCATGCAACCCAGAGTTCTGCAGTGTAGATCCCTGAGCTGGCCACATCCAAACTGAAGGAGCTTTCTGATACATCAACACCCTCCTCCAATTTCTTGAACAGTCAGGAAAACCTACCCCACCTAGAGCTGCCAAAAGGACTAGCCAATTTCTTCCAAAATAGAAACAGGAAAATAGTTTACAATGCTAAATGACTGAATCATCAAAGTGTCAAATTAAATATTGATACCAACAATTGGAGTCTAAAATACTCGCTGGTGTCGGGAGAATGCAAGAAGAGAGGTCAGCAACTACCAAATTGATAGCGAGAGCATGAGAAGGATATTCCTGGAAGCCTCCGCATTTTATTTGGTGCCCTGATCCAATGCCAGCCGACCATCTATGGTGCCTCTAGAATGGTGCAGGGTCTGAGCAGCACAATGCTGAGCAAGTTTGGAGCCTGGCCCCTAATGAGCTTGCTCTGGATCTAATGGTGACTTCACTTATTTCAAACCTGGATAGAATTACCCAGGACAACACTTGAGGTTCGCCTCAGCTCAAGATAAATTAGCCAGTAACAGGGGAACAAAGCCAACTGGCGTATCCGGGTGGCCAAGTTCAAGTCCACGCCCTGCCCCTCTGTGTCTATGCACAAATCCCTTTACCACTCAGAGCCTCAATTTCCCCATCTAAAGAATCAGGGGGTGAGCAGAGATGATGTCTTAGAAAGCTGGAAGCTCCCTTATTCTACGGTGCAACAGACTGGGCGAGGGACTTAATTCCACAAGTTCCTTTCTTCATCTGGAAAGGGTCCTTTCTGATGATGCCTAACTCAGGTTGCTCTGATGATTAAAGGAGGTAAAGCACACAAGGCACTTAGCCCACCCAAACACACAGCGGATGCTCAATAGACCGTGCCCAAATTAAAAGAAGTCAATAAGGATACTATTATGGGTTGGAAACCCCTGCCAAGATGGAATCCTGCTCACTTTTCTAATTCCTAGCACCTGCCATAGGTCAGGCACATAGGAGGTGCTCAGTAAACAGATAATTGTTAACTGATGAACTCTTACTGATTAGAAGCTTTGATTGTCAATTCGGCACACAGGATTCATTTCAAATGGGCAAGGGGATCGGTTCTTCGAGTTTATAAATGCAGCTCATTTAGAGAGGAGATTTTTCAAAATGCAAGGTAGGTAAGATGGTGGCGAAAAGGTCAGACGCACTGGGATGTGCTGACAAGGCCAACCTCCCACCTGCTCCTGAGATCAGCAGAGGCCAGAGCCAAAGGCATGAGTCACCACCCGGCAATGCTGAGGCGGGGGACCAGTCCCAGGCCGGTGCTGGCCTCTTGTAACTGTCCCCATCGAGCTCTTCATTCATTGAACAAGCGGTCCAAAAGGTCCTTTGAGTAATTCTGGTGCCCTTTGGCAGAAGAGAGGCAAACAAAGCTGACACCAAAAGCAGACAATGTGAGAACCGGAGCTCAAGACCAAGGGCTCCCAGCGGAAAACGAAAGGAGGTCAAGGCGGGAGACCAGCAAGCCCATTAACTATTCGGTACAAAGCCACAGGACCCTTCCCAGAGCAAAGTCCCAACCTAGCAACAGAAAAGATCAGCATCCACGTGTGCACCTGCACACGTGTGTAGAAGCTTGGGCACATGCACACAAGTACACACACTCTCGAGATGCGGAAATCACTCTGAAGTGACAGAGACCATCCGAATCCCGATGAGAAACCCATTTTGATCCATTTATTATGATGAGCGAGGGGTTACGCGGTGGCTCTCTGTAACTAGGTCAGACACCAATTGGTAGTCAACTCCACAGACCCAGGAAGATTTAATGAGGAGGAGATCAGACAAAGACAGAAGATGGAAATCATGCCCCGAGCGCGTGTCCCCAGACTCTGCAATCTGGCAAGGGGACCCCGTCCACACCGTTTCTCTCACAGATAGACCAAAGAACAAACTTTGCGAAACTCCTGAGATGAGGATCCACAGTCCCGGCCAAGCCATTGAGCAAGGCTCTGGCAAGTAGCAACCAGGCTGCAAGAAAACCAGGCCCTGAATCAAATGACAAGGGGGACCTGAGCAGAAAGTCCAGGCCGAGCAAAGGCGCACTGAGCCGCAGCTGTAATGGCACGGGTGGGACATTAAAAAAAAAAAAGAAAAAAACAAAAAAACAAAAAACGGCACTGCCAACCTAAAGCTCGTGTCTACAAAAGCCAGCCCCCTTTGCCAGGATCTATGTGCCACCATCCCCAGCCCTCCTCTGTGCTGGGCAGTGTAACTGGCACCTGCATTCAGGCCGGCAGATGGAGAGGCCAGGCCCGACCAATCCAGTGCCTACTCACTCTACCATCAGGAAGGTCACCGAGCAGCAGTTGGCCACCTAGGGTCTTCCTTGCCATAATCCAGCCACCACGGCAATGCCATCGCCAATGCCATCGCCAAGAGGACCCTTCTTTTCTTCCATCTCAGGACACTTCCTATGGGGACATGGAGGGCCACGGTGCTGTGAGATGGGCTCAGCCTAGCTTTGTTCTGGACAGCCCAGCCTGAGAGGCGGCAATTCCCTGGCACCGCTGGCAGCCCTGTGAATGAGCCACTGTCGTGAGACACACACTCACTGCTAATGAGTCCCACACAGACACAAGCAAGAGAGGCAAATGCAGTGGCTGCCGCAGATGAGGCAGAGTTTAGGCAGACACAGGGGACAGGCGGGGCCACAGCACTCGCTCTGCCCACCCTGGAAGACAGACCCCAGCCCAGTGTCTCCAAGCGCCCCAGCCCCGCAGCAAAGACCTGGAAATATCTGTCTTCCTCGAACTCATGGCACCTGCTCTCCCCTCCTAGCCCAGTTAAGAAGAAAACAGCACCAAAACTTTAAATAGCCACTCCTACCCAGTAGTATTCTCATTTCATTGTTTTAAGGACCATTTAAACAAACAAACAAAATGGCAAAGCACTGATTATTAGAGCAAGTACACTTAGCAACGTAATACCTAAACAGTGAGGGAAATAAAAAGAGTGAGTGAATTTGCTTTAGCACTTGGCGGCATAAATTCATTTCACAGGATTCCATTGTAGACGGTGACGACCTAAAAGTCAGTCATCTCTGGGGCAAGTTGCCTGGACTCAAATCTTTTCTCATCTAGTTGGATAGCTTTAGGCCAGTTACCATCCTTTCACTTATAAAATGGAGATTAAAATGGTCCCCCTAGCAAAGGGTTCTAGCAAAATTGAAAGACGTTAACTCCCACAATGTGCTCGGCACATAGCTTCATAAAGGTCGCCTTTTGATCACGGTCAATGTCATTAGTATGATTTATGTTGGCCAACTGAACCGGTCTTGGAGTTTACATGTTCAGGTTTCCATGCTACATTCTTTGTGTATAACACGGTTATCGAAAATCCAATGGTATATAAGGCAAATCAATTTCACTGGCTGAAAACTCAGAAAATTTAGAGAAAAGAAGAAACCAAAACTCCCAGACCTCCATCTATCAGCTTTTCCTGCTTTCTCCCCCAAAGGTCCAGAACAGAGAGAACTGCAGATGTCCAATGTATGTTTTAATTTTGAAAAATATTGCATAAAATATTGCTTATGCTGATATCTGCACTTTCTGGTGCTCTCATAAATTGTACACCTGCGGCCAAAGACTCTGTCACTCATCCCACCGGAGCCCTGGCCCTGGGAACCAGCGAAATCCTCCTCTTTGTCGGGAGGTGCTTCTGCCACTGCAGTGTGCAAGTCACTGGGCACCTCATTAAGTGCACAGTCTGCTCCTGCAGGTCTGGGCCAGAGGCTGAGGTCCTGCTCATCTGATAAGTGCTCAGGTGGTGCTAAGGATGCTGCTGGTCCATGGACAGTTCCAGGATGCACTCGGAGGAGTGAGACCTTGGAAGAGGCTGATGCTTGGGATGGGGGGGGAGTGAATATCTGAGTTACATTTTTCAGTGTCTCTTTGATATTGGGGTTGTTTTCAGACAAGTTGAAAATTCTTTCATTTTTCAAGGAACTGCTGTTGGTAATCTAAGGCAAGTCCTTGGACCCAGAGACGGAGAACATTTGTTGTTTTGTTTTGTTCTAAATCAAACAAGTAGAATAAAGCAAATATCCATTGAGGCCTGATGACTGCCCTTTGGGGAGTTCCTTTAAGTTTCTATTTCCCTTGTTCCTTCTCCTGGCTGAAGAAGCAGAAGTAGGAATGCCCCAGAGGAAGAGGTTGGGCATTGGTTAGCATTGAAAAACCCCTAAGGTTCCAAAGGAATAATTACTGATAAGAGCAATAAAACAGAATCAGTTTAATACACCTGAATTAACTGTCTTTTACTGTCCTTCAATAAAATTCCAGAAGAACAAGAGCTCAGAATTTTGCACTTAAGAATGTGGGGTTTAGATGAAGACTCCGTCACTTGCTAGCTGTGTTACCTCAGGCAAGTGGCTTAGCATCTCTGAACCTTGTATTTTTTTCTATCTGAATTGGGCCCTAATAGTGCCTGCCTTGCAAGGACTATTGCTATGAGATAACTCATAAGTGTGTGCATAGACTACATGAATGACTACTTCCCAGAGTCAAATATATATATCAAGAACAACAAAAAAGTTACCTCCAAAAGTTGAACATTTGTAAGAACAATGCCTTAGAGATATCTGGCTTTCTATTTCCAAGTCCAGGCTTTTTCTCAGATTGTGTGCATGTGTGTATATCCGATAAACCAAATGTATTTTACAGAAAGAAAGAGAACAATGTGAATAACAATAAAATTTTCATAATAGTATTTCTCCTTATAAATCCTTGCTAATTATTGTATATTGCCAACATTACTAAGGCAGCATTAAACCGTCTTCCGTCCTTGGGTGGAAGAAACAGCTAATTGTTTGAATTGAAATGCATGTGCTTTCAAAAAGAAGGAAGCAATTCCCAAACACACACACACACACACACACACACACACACACACACACACACACGTTCGTTCTCCTCCTCCCTCAAATCTTACACACTCTCCGGCACATAGCACTGAGTCCTACACATGGTAGCTCAGGGCAAATATTAGCAGCTGATTTCACAGAAGGAAAATCATGTGTGGCTGATAATCTGCTCATCACTCCACCGGGTGGGGCTGTGCTTTGCCAGCCTCGCCTGCCAGTCAGATTAGAATACAGACAGAGAAAAACAGGGTGGAAAGCTATTTCACTTCCACCATTGTATGGGACAGACGATCTGACAGGATTCCTTGTTACTGACAGAGACATAGAAACTCAGGCAGCGGATTAGAGGAATCCACACGTGACAGTGGCTTCTCAGTTGATAGTGTCCCAAAGCCCTTCCCTACTCTCCATGTGGGGAGGGCCGGCTCTCATCAAATCCTCCTTATGGGACCATCTGTGTCCCTGCCCATGTCATCAGGCCCCTGGGCTCCCACCCAAGCATTATTGCAAACTGTCCTCTTCTGCACACTATAGCTGAAGGCTGTGGGCCACTGCAAAGAAACCTTCTTTCATTAGGGATTTCTCTGTCTACACAGGATTTATGATGATCCTTTGGCAAGGATCTCTGAATCACTGGCTTTCACAGGACAGCCAAAAGAGTATTTCAGGAGAATCTACCTCTAACAAGCCACACAGCCCTGGAGATTTATTTCCTCGGATGAAACGGGCGCAGCCTGATGCATCCAGAATGCAGCCCTGCACGGGGTGCTGTGGCACAGCCGACGAAGGGGACGGAGCATTGGCTGCACCAACTCTCGCCCAAATCGCCGCAGAACCCTGGGAAGTCAGTCAACCTCTGTGACAGACCTCACGTCACCCGTAAGCTAGAAATGACATGAGAATACCTCCCTCCTGGAGATGTCCCGAAGGTTAAATGGTTGAATGGAATGAAGTAGCTGGTGGAACCCCCACCTGATTTATGGGTGGGGACTCTTATTTTTGAAGAAGGATGTGTAACAAGAAAGCAGTAGCTTTGACTGACAGCCTAGTGCTTCACCTTTGGGAGGGGCTGTGAGTGGCAAAGTGACGGGTGCCCCTGTGCCTCGAGAGTTTGCCAGGGAGAATCGAGCCCCTTGAGGTACAGCCATTGTTTTTGTGCGACAGGAGCACAAATCCTGCCTCCCCACTCCATCACTTGTTAAACTCAAATTTTGTTTGGACCAATTCTAGACAATTTTCTGTGATTTAGCTCCCACCAGCCAAACCCCTCTTCCAATTCCTGCATCTCAGCTTGAAAAGCATGGCTGTGTTACCTTTTTTTATTTATTTATTTTTCTTCACGGGGTGAGCTGACAAACTCAAAAGGAGCCCCCTCCCATTCCTAGGCTCCTCAGAGCTGCTCCTCCACCTGCAGCAGCTGTCAATCATGCCCCTTGATGGTTCGCAGGCTGGGAAGACGGAGAATGGGTAGAAAAAAGACAGAGGCAAGAATACCTCCCCCAAGTCAGTGGGAGCGCACAGTATTTCCAACCCTACAGACACTGCAAGGTAGTGTCTGTCAATAGAATTTTTCTAGGGGCAACTGAGACTTAAGAAAGTCTGACTCCCCAAGAGTCATCTAGAGAGTAACGGGGGTAAGATGGGAACCCAGATTAGCCTGACTGCACATCCCTTATACTGTCCACAGCACTGTGTTATCTCAAAACAGGTAGGGGGAGACTCTTGTTGGCTTTCATTGTCCAGCAAATCACAAAATAGACAAGATCTCAGCAGGCCTAACTTCTGGATCTACCATTCAAACTTACGAACACCTGAAACCACCCAAACTCTCTAAATGCTGTTTTTTTTTTTTTAAATCTGAGAAAAATGGCTATAAACATTTTTATACATGATTACACATGGATTAAATAAGATCTTGGAGCAAAGAGTATGCCACAAT